GAGAATCAGTAGGTTTGTGAAGTATGGATAATAAACCCTTTCTCATTAATGGATTCTGAAAGCAAATCCTAATTCGTGTAGAATGAGGATTTGAACACTGAAGGCTGACAATGAATTTATAAGATCATTTAAGAGTGTTAGAACATGATGATTATGCAAAGGTGCTTAATCGTGTGACATTTAGCACTGAAGTGAAGCTACAAAGTTAGCCTGTTTCTAGATCACAATGTAAACGTTGTATGATTGAAATGCCGGCGCATACAGCCCCAAGAGCCACCGGGCTGTCTTCTTTTGCTCCAGATCACTGTATTATTAAGCCTTTTGGATGGAATGTGGGTAGGAAAATGTTACTGTTATGAAATTCTAAGCAATCTCCGTATTTAAAAAAGATTTAATTTTTAGACTTTAGAGTTCCTCATGAACCTCAGATTCCTTCATGAAAATGGACATGTTCCTTTTGCAAAGGAGCATGAAAGTGCAAAACTGAAACATAGTATCTACCTCTAAAAGTCTCCCAAAGATATGACCTGAATTTGCCACTTTTCTGTCATACTTTGCTACTATATTTTGTGTTCATGAACTATGAACAGTTGGATTACAGTTTACTGCAAAGAAAACTAGTCTAATTTGTGGATTTATTGGACACATACTTAGTGAAAGGAGTGTATATATATGCCTTCAGTTTTCCTTAGTATTGTTTATGCAGAAGAAAACATCAGAAATATTTAAAAATCAGTCCCAAAGATGAACATTTTGGCTTAAGACCTTAAGTAAGCAATTTTTCTTGGGATGAAATAGTTTGGAAGCCCAGGCCCAGAGACTGCTTACACATTTCAGAATTTAAACAGAGATGACCCGTCTGAATTCACATATTTTCAGCAAGTGGACAATCAGTGTTTAATAAGATATTGAGAAAATTTACATCCCCTGGGGATGAATTCCATTTAATGATGAATAGCTTTAGGAAGGAGCAAAATAATTATACTGCTTTTTTTAAAAAAAATTAACAGTCTTCAGGGTATCTGCAGTATATTTTAGCTCTGAAGAATTTGGTAAAACAATACATTCATTCTTTTGGTATAAGAGAAACATATTTAAAAGAGTAATGTTTGCCTTTTCACATAGTGCAATCATCTAGGGATTATGTATATATGATGAAGACTGAGCTAAAGGAAGTAAGAAACATTTATGCATAATAAAAAAAAATCTTTTCCATTTTGGTTCTTTAGTCAAAACTTTGGATGATAGCTTTTAGATCTTAGATGTTTACTGAAATAAAGTATCTTCCCACATACTTTATGATCTCTTAAATCTTTCCAGCTAGTAAAGAGGCAAAAAGAAGTGCTTCTCCATATTTTTATTTATCTTTATAATTTTCCACATAGTCCTTGTACCTTTATTATTCATCAGCTAAACACAAAAACACAATTTTCAAATGAAACCATCAGGCATGCTTAGTCAGACCATAAACATTCTAACTGTAGAACCAAAGTCTTTTTTTCCCCATACAAACTGTATTTTGTAGGCAATCAACACACAAGTAAGTACCCTTTGTTCTGAACAGTTTTTCATTCAAAAGTGTGTGAAATTAGTCACATCTTTCTGGATTTGAGTTCAGAGGTGTTCTCTCCACTGCAAGCATTATGGGACTTAGTAACTGACAAATCATTTATATAGCTTAAAAATTCAACCCACCCACTTGCTATTTACTATCAAGTTTATTCTTTGACCGTCAAACCCAGCATGTGTCTCCTCTCATATTTTGCTGACTTCTCAGGCAGGTAGAAATGCAGACAAACTGTATGTGGAAGATAAAGTCTGTACTACATGAGAGACAATGACCAAAAGCATTGAATCAAACAAGTTACATAAAATCAATGACTACTTAGTGGAATGAGATAAAAGGAAAACAGTGGACTGACAGGTTTGCAGCCTTTGACAGAGCTTCTTCTCATGTTAACAATGGTGTTTACACTTTTGTTGAGTGGCTGCCTTGAGCTTCGAGCTTTGCATACATTTTCTAAATACGCTTATAGAACAATCCTATGGGAAAGACTGCATTCTCTTCATTTCACATGTCAAAAACTTACATTTATGGGAGTTAAGTAATTTGTTCTTGGGCACACAGCTATTAAGGAATGAGTCCAACCCATAAACCATAGGTGCTTGGTTCTGAGTCCCATTTCTGTTCATGGTGCTGTTAACCTGTTAGAATTGGCTAAGGTCTGCAGACTAGACAAAAGGGTGGGGCAGAAACTAGAAAACATAAAAAAAGCCTCCACAAACATATAAGCTCCATGAAGGGAGGGTACCTTTATCACCATGTCCTTAGAACCTGAAAAATTGACATGTTGATACTCAATAATATTTATTTTTTCACAAGAGAGGAAGGGAGGGATGAAGGAAGGAAGGAAGGGAGGCGGGGAGGAGGAAGAGCTTTCCAATCAGTTGTTGAATATGAAATAGGCTAAATCAGGCCTGGAGGATTCTTATCTGCTGTGAACCCCATAGGCAGTACATGGTTGCTTGGGACAGCATAAACCAGTTCTTCTCGAACTTAAATGTGCATATTAAACACTTGGAAATCTCTTTATGATGCTAATTCTGATTCAGTAGATCAAGGCCGGAGCTCCAGAGTCTGTTTGCATCAAACTATCAGGTGATGATGAGAATACTGATGATGCTGGTTCGCAAACCACATTGCTTATCAAGAGTGCGCAGTATTCAGATAATGCAGATAGATGCTTTCCTTTCCTTTCCTTTCCTTTCCTTTCTCTGAGTTCCTGTAGTACTAGGAGTTGGGGAGGAATAAGATTAAGGAGGGTTAATAAGTGCTTACGACTGACCTCAAAACTCTGAAGAGCAGAATTAAAGTCAAACCAGAAGAAAGTGGCCGAAAATGCACAAGTAAGTATGGACTTGCCCCTGCAAGGACCATACGAGAGCCACTCTATAAACAGAGCAAAACAAACCCAGTCACAGAAATTTGCCACAGCCGAGGAAGCATCACAGCTGTTTCTCTCTTTGTAATTTTGTTCTCTTACATCCAAAAGAAAAAGACTGGGGCCTGTAGTTTTTCCTCTCAATTTCGTTTTGATCTCTCAGAAGAAATGTCACTGTGGACTTGGGAGACATTTGTGTCAATTAATGTTACTTTGAACATTAGGGACTATACTTACAACTCTATTCATTTCCTGTAGTCTCCATCATCAAAATTTTACTGGTTATTATTTTCAATATAGAAAAACAATATAAACAGCCAAATATAATGATGAACATCCATCTAATCATTACTCAGGTTGAGAAGTTAAAAAAGCTTGATTTCTAAGTGTTCATCCCCTACCCACATCTCACTTTGTCTCCAGACCTTTAAAATACCTTAAAGTCAAGGTTTATCATTCTCAGACATTTTAAGATAAATGTTTAGTACATTCTTAATATAAATGATAACAAAACTTTATATAAATGGTATCAGGCTACATTCAAAGAAATATTTTCACCATTATCAGTGAGACATTTTCATATCTGTGAAAATTCACACATTTCCACAGCTATGTAGTATTTCATATAATTTTACATACTTTCATTCATGATAATGTTCACATTTCATCTCTTTATTTCCTTTCACAATATGTAATATGTCCAGTATATAATATGTCTGGGTCAGATATTGTGTATATATTATATAGGTAGATATTATGTGTATAATATCTATATAATATAAAGATACATATGTATACACACACACACAGAACAATTTTTAGATGGCCCATGCCATTATTAAAGAACCTTGGGCTAGAATTCAAATGGGTACTCCTTCTGATCCAGCAGTCAATAGAGTGGGGATAATTGACACTTCTCTATTTTACTGAAATCTTCACCTATGAAATGGGCATTATATCACCAATTTCCTAAAGTTATTACAAAGAGCAATGGAGATGATTGTTACAATACTTTAAAATCTATGGAACTGATAGCAATATAATTTTAGGACAAAAATGAAGCCTTCTAGAAGGTGGAAGGCTTAATTTATACAATGCATCTATTCTTGAGATTGTAGGATATTTAATACATTTTTAAAGGTGAAATCTACTTTGATGTGCCAAATACCCTTACTGTTTAAAAACTTGATTCTTTTCTGTTTAAAAATCAGTTCATTATTTTATTTTATTTTTTTTTTTTTTATTGAAGGGTAGTTGACACACAGTATTACATTAGTTTCAGGTGTACAACACAGTGATTCAACATTTATATACATGATAATTCTAGGTACCAGCTATCACCCTATACAGAATTTTATTGTTGTTAACAACCATTTGATCGATAAATAGAAGAGATGCCCCCACAAAAAAAAAAAAGTTCTTTATTTTTTATTTTGTCTTCCCATTGATAAATACAGCTCTGGGGTTAGTGCTGTTACCGTTTCAGACCCCCTAGGTGACATTTAGGTCTTTTAACCACAGTGTACCATTCAGTAAATAGCACTGTGGTGGCTTAGAAGAGTGGAGAAGGCCTCAGGGGCAGGTATTTACCCAGACAAATTGAAATGGATAGTTGAGCACTTATCCAATTAATTTATTAAATGTGCTCAGTCAGTCTGGATAAATCAAAGAAATGTGCTCTTTTTCCCCTTCATAGGCAGCATGAGACTGGCCTGAAGTACAAGAGATAATCGCCTCAACTTTCTGCTTCATCTTTACTTATATAAACCTAACCTAATTTTTCCCCTACTGAACAAACTGTTATCCTCACCTCTTCAAAAAATCTTGAAAAATCTTAACTTTTAGATGTTACTCCGTGGTGTTTTCTACTACACTTTTAACTTTTTTTTTCTGTTAAGTAATTTAGGCATATTTGATCTTCAGTTATATAACACATGAGTACTATATTCATTGCCTTTCATCTATAAGAAAGCTGATGTTTAAAATGATTCTATAATGTATATTGTTTTAAATTTAAATATACTAAGAGGGGAAAACCCTTGACATTTGTTTTTACAGATGGCAGCTAAATGGAAGTGATATTAATCTGAGTATGGAATATCGTTATAAATTGAATGGAGGAAATCTTGTGGTTGTCAACCCCAGCAGAAATCGGGATACAGGAAATTATCAGTGCTTTGCAACAAATTCGCTTGGAACGATTGTTAGCAGAGAAGCTAAACTCCAGTTTGCCTGTAAGTTTATGTTCAAATATCTAGCAAATCCAACATTTAAAAATATGTAACTGAATTTGTATAGTCATTTTTGGACTTCATGAAAAATACCTGGATTTTATTATTTAAATCAGTTGAGAAAGCAATTCAGTATGATTTTTTTTTTCATTTCTATATACTGTACAAATCGGAGCTTAAAATATGCATGTGTGTGAGTGTTGGGGGGGTGTTTTCCATTTTACTATTTTTTAAGGATTCTGTTTAGGAGAGAAAAAAGAATCCAGGTAAGGATATGTTTATCAAGCAGCTACTTTGTTGCTTTGCACTGTGTTAGAACCTAAAAGATAATGAAGGAATTATCAGACATGATCCTTACTCTGGAAAAACATTGAAATTAAAGAATTTCACTGACAAATTTGAAAATATTAAGGAACAAAGACAATGAGAAAGAAAAGAGAAGAATGTGATGTATCATTGACTTCCTTTGTAGTGTTATACAGGTCACAGTGACCTTAAACACATTCCCCTGAAACCTGGCTCTGGAAGCCAAGTTTGTGCAGGCACACCTCCTTTTATCATGCTTCGCTTTACTGCACATTACAGGTATTCTGTTTTTTTTTTAATTGAAGGTTTGGGGCAATCCTGGGTCAAGGAAGTCTATCAGTACTTCCTTTTTTTTCTAATAGCATTGGCTCACTTAGAGTTTCTGTGTCACATTTTGATAATTCTCACAGCATTTCAAGCTTTTTCATGATTATTATGTTTTTTATGGTGGTTTGTGATCAGTGATCTTTGACACTACTATTGTAATTGTTTTGGGGCCCTGCAAACCTTGTAAGATGGTGAGCTTAATCAGTAAATGTTGTGTATGTTCTGAGTGCTCCACCCACTGGCCATTCCCATCTCTCCCCCTTCCTTGGGCTTTCCTATTCCCTAAGACACAAAAATATTGACATTAGGCCAATTAGTAACCCCTACAGTAGCCTCCAAGTATTCAAGTGAAAGGAAGAATTTTATGTCTCTCACTTTAAATCAAAAACTGGAAATGATTAAGCTTAGTGAAGGAGGCATATTAAAAGCCAAGATAGGCCAAAATCTAGGCCTCTTGCACCAAACAGTTAGCCAGGTTGGGAATGCAAAGGAAAAGTTCTTGAAGGCCATTAGAAGTGCTACCAGTGAACACACTAATGATAAGAAAGTAAAAGAAACGTATTGCCAATATGGAGAAAGTTTTAATGTTCTGGATAGATCAAATCAGCTACAACATTTCCTTAAGCCAAAGCCTTTTCCAGAGCAATGTCAATTGGAAGCTAGAAATTGTTTCATGAGGTTTGAGGAAAGAAGCTGTCTTCATAACAGAAAAAAGCAAGGTGAAGCAGCAAGGGCTGATGTAGAAGCTGGAGTAAGCTATCCTGAAAATCTAGCTCAGATAATTTATGAAGGTGGCTACACTAAACAATAGATTTTCGATAGACGTGGACAGCTTTCTAGAGGAAGAAGTTGCCATCTAAGATTTTCATAGCTAGAGAGGAGAAGTTGATGCCTGGATTTAAAGGATAGGCTTTCTTTTGTTTGTAGCTAAAGCAGATGGTGACTTGAAGTTGAAACCACTGCTCATTTACCATTCCAAAAATCCTAGAGCCTTTAAGGATTATGCTAAATCTCCTCAGCCTGTGCTCTATAAAATGGAAGAGCAAAGCCTGGATGATATTCAATCTGTTTTCAACATGGTTTACTGAGTATTTTAAGCCCACTGTTGAGACCTAATGCTCAGAAAAAAAGATTCTTTGAAAACTACTACAGCTGATTGACAATACACCTGGTCACTCAAGAGCTCTGATGGAGATGGACAATGAGGTTAATGTTTGAATGCCTGCTAACACAGCATCCATTCTGCAGCCCGTGAAGCAAGAATTCATTTCAACTTCCAATTTTTATTACTTAAGAAATATGTTTTCTATGGTGAGAGCTGCCATCGGTAGTGATTCCTCTGATGAATCTGGGCAAAGTGAGTTAAAACCTTCTGGGAAAGATTCACCGTTCTAGATGCCTTTGAAAATATTTGTGATTCATGAGGTCAAACTATCAACATTAGCAGAAGTTTGGAAGATTCCTGGATGACTCTGGTGGTGTTCAAGACTACAGTGGAGGAAGGTGTGGCAGTGGAGGAAACAGCAAGATAACTAGCATTAGAAGTGGACCCCGAAGATGTGACTGCATTGCTGCAATCTCATGATAAAACGTGAAGGAATAAGGAGTTGCTACTTAAGAATGAGCAAAAGAAAGTGGTTTCTTCAGATGGAATCTAGTGGTAAATGTTGTGAAGAGGGTTGAGATGACAGCAAAGGATTGACAATATTGCATAAACTTAGTTGATAAAGCTGTGGCAGGGTTTGAGAGGATTGACTTCAGGTGTAAAAGCAGTTCTACTGTGGGTAAAATACTATCAAACAGCTTTGCATGCTACAGATAAATCATTTGTCAGCAAACTTCATTGTTGTCTTATTAAGAAATTGCCATAGCCACCATACTCTTCAGCAATCATCACCCTGATCATTCAGCAGCCATCAACATGGAGGCAAGACACTCCACCAGAGAAAAGGTTACAACTTGTGGAAAGCTCAGATGATGGTTAGCATTTTTTAGTAGTATTTTTAAATTAAGTTATGTACATTTTTTTACATATAATGCTATTGTACACTTAACAGACTACAGTACAGTGTACACATAATATTTATATACACTGAGAAACCAAAAAAAATAATTTGACTCACTTTATTGAATATTCACTATATTGTGGTGGTCTGTGACCTGCAATATGTCCAAGGTATGCCTCTATATACCATCTATATACCATGTTAATTGGACTTGGGTGAATGCATGGCCCAACTGAGAAAACTGCATTCTTTTTCCAGGGAATTTAGAATCGGTACCTGAGACCTAATTTAGTTTTTATTATATATGTATAATGTATTTCCCTTCTGCTTTTTGTTTCTTCTTACTAGCCTCTTTTGTATTGTTGTGTATTTTGTGTATAATGCACATCAGGAGTACCTTGGTTCTAAGTTTTCTTTTAGTTCTTTGTACCTCAGTAATTCTGAAATCATAATGCATGTGTTCTGCTTATAATGCAGTTTTCTTCTCTCCCCTCTGCTGCAAGCCATTAGTGAAGTGTTAATGTGTCATTTAATGCATGGTGTATTCTGCTGCTTCCTGTTTTCATAAGGCAATGGCTGGTTTGCTCCTGCATCACACTCTGTGTGTTCCATTTCTCATGCTCATTCTTCCCTTCCTTTCTTCTTTTTTTTCCCCCCTACTATTGATGGTGTTTTTTGTTGCTTTTTTAACTTGTATTTTCCCTGGATATTTTGAAAGCTATATATATCATGCTTCTATTATATGAGTTTAAGTTTATCTCTAAGTTTAAAAGTACATTATGTATATTTCTCTAGTAACCAGAGTTTTAAATCTAAATTATTTTTCCAGTGTCTCTCCATTTTAAACAAGGAGTTTAACCCCTTTTTTCCCTTACTGTATACTCTGCAACCTTGGTGATTTCCATAGTCATCATGTCATTTTGTTACTTTTTCATTATTTTATATATATATATATATATATACACATACATATATATGCATGTATATAGAAAATATATGTAATCTCATGTGCACATTGTTTTTAACCAGAATTTTGCAAAAATCTATGATTTATCTATGTTTCACTTTGTTATAACGCCAACCACAAGACTTCTTCCCATTATTTCATTCTGATATTTTAACATTTAGTACATTGCATTTAAAATGTAACTAAGTTTCATCCTCCTGAATTTTAAAGAATGTCATTTTATTGCCTTAAATATGAAGATGTCTTCTGGTTAGTACAAACGATTTCAAAACTGTTTTATCAAAGGATTCCAAATACGTTTTTTCTGTCATCTTCTGGAATTAGTGCTGTTAAACAGAAGTCTGGGGTCAGACTAATGAGGTTCTTGGAATCTCATCATCACCTTTTTTTTCCCTTGCTTGTATATAGGATTATTTTTCTTTCATCCTTTTAGTTAAAAATATACATACACCTAAGTTTAGACCTCTTTTAATTTACTTTGATTAAAACTTGAAAAATTCTCTTATTGTACATATTTTGCAGACAGTTCAGGCAATTTTGTTTGTTTTGTATCTTTGGTTTTATGTTTGGTTCATTTATTATTTAAAAAAACACTGATAGTATATGTATTTGATTTTTTTTTTTTGGTCTCATTTCTTGCAATACTTTTTATCTCAGGTTGTTCTTCCCTGGGAATTTTTGCACCTGATTCATTGAAGCCACATCTGTTGTTTGTGTTCTTTTGGAATTACAGTCCGTTTTCAGAAACATTGTTTTGTATCTTAGAGGCAGTCTTTCCTCTTAGTTCCATTTGGTGTTTCCAATAGAATATTTTTATGCTTAATATTTCCAACAGGTGCTAAAGTGCATCATTTTCTCCAAACTCAGCCTTTGTCAATAGATGATGTCGGTGGATTACCCTAGGTATGCTTTCTTTGCCACATGCAGAGATCAGCTTCTCTTCCCTGATCTGTAGGGGAATGTGCAACTCCCAGTCTAATTCCCTATTCCCAGGAATCTTTCACCAAATACATTGTTCTTCTTAAGCAGTGACATTTTTTCTATTACAGATCCTTGATACCCTATAGTATCTAAAGAAGTGTAACTAGATTACCAAGTTCTTCTCTGTCAGTCTAAACTGGAGAATATGGCTTGTTTGGAAATACCTCTAGAATGGTATCATGCCTCTTCCAGTCTGCTCCTCCTTCCTGGCCAATATTTTATATCTAAGTAGGATAATGTTGTTGAGTCCAGGATTTTATTTTACTCTACTCACAAGCTAATAAGCTAGCCTGCTACTGTTTCATGGATGTTGACAGAAGACGTGGTATTTCTGGGCCAGTGACAGAGGGCTTTATTACTCAAAGCAACCAAGGTGTTTCAGTTCCCTTTGCCCCTGAGGCCGGTGGAGGCGCTAG